AACATACTAAAAAAGCAACTTGCTATACTTTAATCTGGCAGAAGCCAGCAAGCCATCACTTTATGCCAACAGGATTGTGAAAAGTTTTACTCTAATTGTATGATTATTTAAACAAACTATAACTCTTCATTAATTTCTTTCTTTCTTTTTTTTTTTTTTTGTGATCCCAGGGCTTGAACTCAGGGCCTACACTTTGAGCCACTCCTCCAGCCCTTTTTTGTGATTGGTCTTTTTGAGATAGGATCTCATGGACTATTTGCCAGGGCTGGCTTCTAACCATGATCCTTCTGATCTCTGTCTCCTGAGTAGCTAGGATTACAGGAGTAAGCCACCAGCACTCAGCTTCATTAATCATTTTTTAAAAAATATATCTAAGCAGACAGTCCATGCATGAAAATATTCAACCAGGTTGTATAGCACCACAACACACCAGGCACATCTTCTCCGTCTCATAAAGTCCTAACAGTGAATTGCACACAAAGAAGAAACAGCTTAATGCTTCACCTCACTGGTTTTGTATTTATAGATTTTAGTACCTGTAGTAAGTATTAATTTTTCTTCTTATAGTTCTGCATTATAGTTTAGTGCTTGGAATAAGTATTCTATTTTCTAGTCCTTTATACTTATAAGAATGTGAACCATCCTTAGACATTTTTGGTGATACATCTTTGAAACAAAATTTTTCTACTTAACTACCCATTCAAATGCAATCTATCTGGCAGAGTAGTCAGGCACTGCCAAGTGAGTTACTACATGCGAGAAAATCAGAATTCCCTGTGCAAGCAAAATCAAATGAAGATACCATGTTAGTTGCTGCTGACATGGCTGCAACCATTATTCCCAATGCCCAATGTCTATTTTATACTCATAAAACAGACACATTCTTCTCACTGGTTACTTTATAAACAAAGTTTCATTAAGAATATAGTCAGAATTTGGACGTTTTACTCCTGTTACTACCTGGCCCAGGATACCATGCTCTCCTGAATTATTCCTGTCCTCCTGCTTTACAACCCTTACACCTCTGCAGCCTGTTCTCATGGCATATTCTGTCCAACACTCTCTAATCACCTCTCATTATATTAGCACAAAAGTCAAAATCTCTGTAATGCTGCACAAGACCCTGCACAGGTGATGCTCATCACTGTGCAAACTCCATCTCCTGCTACACCTTGGTTATTCACAACAACCATACTGGTTCCCCATGAATCCTCAGATCCACAAAGACCCTTGCCTTATTGCTCCTTTCACCTCAAGTGCACTCTGTCTTCTTACCTCCAAAAGGTCTGTGATCAGTCATCTTCTCGTCTTCCCTCACTTCTCATCTTTACTTATAGCAACTACCCATGCTCCTTACATCCTAGCTTTTCTGTTTGCCTTTGAATTTATGACCACCTGAAATAACTCATGCTCAAATCACTTATGCATGTATCAGTTCTCTTTGCTCTGGAGTGTAAGTCCCAGGAGAGCTGAAAACTTTGTTTTCCTCACTTCTGTATCCCTGGAAGCCTAGAACATATATAATCATGTGCATTGTGCCAGGCAGACAAATAAAATATTCTAAATTTCAATTCATCACAAATTTCTACCATAGGGTCACTTTTGAGGATTTTTTTTTTTTCGTGGTACTGGAGTCTGAACTTAAGGCCTCTTGCAACTCGAGCCCTGCCTCCAGCCCTTTTTGCTTTAAGTGAGTTTTTGAATGGGTCTGGCATTTTTGCCCAGGCTGACTTGGACTTCAGCTCTCCTATTTATGCCTCCTGCATAGCTGGAATGACAGATGTGGGCCACAGCACCTAGTTTTTTATTGGCTTGCCTTAAAACATGATTCTCCAGATCTCTACCTCCCAAGTAGCTAAGATTATAGGTAGGAACCACTATGTTTACCTTTAAGATCTCTTTTAAATGAAAAAGAGCTTATTGTTTCCAAACTAAGCTACATAAAATTGTAGCTTGTAGGATTTATGTGTTCATTGTAACTAGGAACAATTTATAATACTCAACATACTACTATAACAACCAAACTGATAGTCCTAATCCAAATTTATAATTACAGGCCACACATCCTTTGAAAGTCTACACCTATTAGTCTCCACATACATACAATAATGGTGGTCCTTTTCAAGGAAGATTATTTTAAAAAAACATTTGCACTTTAGGTTATATCTGAAACTTGATAGAACAACAGCTTAGCGTCCTTCAGGACTTTGCTAAAACCATTCCAATCCTTTTCCTACCACTGCCAAGCTCTGATTGTAACTTTCTCCACAGGTATCTGTTCACACATGCTTTTTTCCTCATACCACAATTTAAGTGCACAATTTCTGTTATACCTTCAAATCATATGCATACACACATTCATTAATTTGAATATACATTTGTGAAAATATCTCACAAACAACTGACATCCTATTGAGTTCATTATAACCCATCTGGCCAAATCATAGCCCAGGACCCAGGAAGACTGTTTTTTTCTAGTTGTTTAGTTCACAGAAGCTTGCTGCAATCTCTATCCACCCACTCCATACCACTTGGCACACATAGGGTTTAGGACCGCTTTGGCTAATCAGGAGTATTATGAGTTGAAAGCTCATCAGGGACTCACCAGTGATTTGGGGAATCCCAAAATGTCAGTTTTGCCAATTTTTAAATCTCTTCTGTTTAAGGATTTCTTTATCCCAATGACATTAGGATAAATCTCTTCCATTTAAAGACTTCTTTATCTTAATAATAAACTAGCACTTTAAGATGAAAACCTGCAGGATGATAATTTGATAATATCTTTTATTCCCAAAGCTTACAAAATTTAAAAAGAAATGTAACAGACTAGGAATGACTGAATAATTTACTGTTTGCTGTTTGCTACAACAGACTTTCCAGTCAAGGCCTCGATGTGTGTTTCTTCAAATTGATGTATGCAGTATCAAAACAAATGTAAACTGATTTTGTGGCAGTAGATATGAATGCACTAGATACAGATTATGGAGGAAGTATAGACAAATCCAATTCAACCTTGAAATCACCAAAAAAGTATAAAGTGCAACAAGATGTTATACAGTTTATAAAGGAGTCAAATAGGAAGTATTTTGTTTCAGGTTTTGATTTCGATGGTTCAGTGTGAATAGAATTTGTACACTTTGAAATTTGATCACAATTTCCTCCTATGTATTCCCTGTAACCATGTCAAAATAGAAAACAAGATTTCAATAAAAATTCAAAGCATTCCTCTATCATAAGGTTCTGAACAAAAACAGAAGCCTGGAATCAATAAAATTCAAAACTCCATCAGCTTTGCTGATCTATATGAGTTTACACTGAAAGAAAGCAAAAGTCTACTTTGACAATATTCTAAACACCAAACTGAAAATTACATGTCACATCTTGATCAACTCTTTTCTAATCATAGCCAGTGATTTCTATTCATAGGAATATATTTTTTCTGATTTATTTATTTTGAGATCTTAACCATCACTATCTCTGCAGTTTCTATTTCCTTCTTGAGCAATAATTATTCATTGATAGAAATGCCAAAATGCCTTAATAAAAAGCCAAATCCCACAGATAAGTAATTTGCCATTTGCTATTCAATTGAAAACAACATGCAGAATTCCACATTTTATAATCATTCTGAGACAAGTTGGCTATTTGAAAGATTTGTGCTCAACATTTCTAGTGGTACTCAACATAGAATCCATAGACCAAAATCACAGCATGCGCTGGCCATCCGGGGTCCTAGAGAGAAGTCCTCATGAGCAGCTGGGTACCACAGGACACATCCATACTTTATTCTCTGTGTGCTGAAAATGGGCAAGTCTTCCAAAATCAAATAATCTGAAGGTTCATGGAAAGGAAACAGATTTTGTATTTTAGTTTTTAGGATGCTCTCATGAAACATCCTTCTGCTTTCTGAATAAGGTTCTTTGAAGAGTCTGGCAGGAAGAGCACTGCCATTGCCAATGCTGGCTCCTTGCTTGACCCGCAGGCTGCTTGTCTGTTTCCTGCATGTGTTTACTTATGATGGGACCAGCAAGGTGTTGGAGGGCTGCTTTGTCTCAGCATTGCCTCAGGTGTTATCACAATACCCAGCATGGATTTCAAAGGTGTGAGCAGATGCTCAGTATCCCTGTTAACCTACTTGATCACAACTTGGAATATTCTCTCAAAGTGTGATATCAAGACATGAATCTATCTACATTTTTTTCAAATTTACATTGAATTCTCTCAGACTTATGAATCTAAACAGGGGGATCTCTGAATCATTCACTGTCACAAGCAATGAGCATCTCTCAGCTGAATGGATGTAACAAATCAGTGAAAGCATAATTTAGCATCTTTCAAAGCAAAATATCAGGATTTTGTCTCTTTGCAGTTTACAGCTATACACAAAGTATCACATTTTAAAACTGCAGGCAAGGATGGTTGTTGTCTGTGTCACAGTGCAACCAGATCCACTCATACTTATTTGAAGACTTGGCAGTTCATTCTTCTAAGAATTCCTACTTGCATAGTGAATTGATAAGGTTCCTTTAAGTATTGAAGTTATAATTTCTCCACCTTAACAGAACCTGCACCAACACTTTAAAGCCTGTTATAATCATTAATGCCTTTTATGGTTGAAAATTAGCATCTATAGCGAGGCTTAACTTTGCAAGTGCTATTTGTAAAAGAGGCCTCAGCCTATTTTCTACTATTTCCATCCATCATCTATCTTTATCGATTGAAATCTTACCTAAATCAACATGTAGCCACTAAAATGACCAAGAAGAAATCACTCAAGTAGAACGTTTTCCTACTATTCCACTCTCCATCAATCTCTTCCATACTGAACGTGAGTCCTCAAATGAAATCAAGACACAGGCTTTCCCAAAGTAGTTCTTTGGTTCACCTGACGCTTTTCGGAAAACACCTGCCCTGTTTTCAAGCTACTCATGCTTTCATAGCAGCCACCAGATCGCAGCCGGAATACACAGTGACAGGAGACCCGAGAGCTTGGGACTTACATTATTCATGTACTCGCTGAGCAGGTCCTGCAGCGCCTGCCGCACAGCGTTGCATTCGGCCACTATGCGCTCGCGCCGGTCATCGCGTGTGCAGGAGGAGTCGGCCATGAGCGCCGCGCCGCTGATGATGCTCTCCAGCCTCTCTTCCAGGGATGGTCGGAACCTGGCCTCGCTAAAAGTCATGGGATCCAGGATAATCTTATTCTGGAAGGATGAAACAGAAATTAGCAGGGATGAGACGGCTGCCCTTGCATTTGGTGTCCAACTACAAATGTGTGAAGTTAGAAGACACCACCCCCCTACTCTCAAAGAAGAGAAACTAGTTATTGAAGCAACCTCTAAAATGCCCTTTGCAAACGATTAACTTTTGTGAGATCTTCTTGCCCTAAATGTCATCTTCAGATTGAAAACCCGTACATCTTGTTTGAAGACTATGTCCTGGCAAAGGCTATCTCAGCCAAGGAATTTTCAAATGAGATGTGACACTGGCTTGGAATTTTCTAGATATGTAGCCTTCAAGGAAAGCACATTTCAGCGCAGCACTTTGGGAGATTAGTGGGTCATCTGAGAACTAAGACATGATATATAATCAACAACCTAAGTATGCATTAGCTGTGACTTTTGCACACATTATATCCTTCTCATGAAAAGCAAATAACTTTCAACAGGCATTTTCAATACAGGTTAATTTCCCACTAGGAATCAATGTCTTTTTATATGAAATCCAGTTTTTATAGAAAAGGATTCACAATGTATATATGCAAGTCTGTGAGATTTCTTACAATGAACTGACAGTACTCTGATACAAGTATTAATGTTTTGAAGGAGCCTACTAGAGATGCTTCCTAAAAAGAAGGCATCACTAAGAACATGAGCTTAGTTTTGCCTCTGTTAAATCTGAGATGCCTAGAAACCTTGTAGGCAGAGGTGTCCACAGGTGTATGGAAATATATATCTAGAATTCAGGAGACATGTCAGCCTTTGAAGGGATCCAGGAATTGTAAAGGGTATTTTGGATGGAAGACAGGTATGTTAGTTACTTTTGCATAGTTATGACCAAAATACCTGACAGAAACAACTTAAAAGGAGGAAGGATTCATTTTGGTTCATTGTTTCAGAGGTTTAATCTATCATGGCTGGCTTGGTTGTTTCTGGGTCAGTGATGAGCTGAGCATCACAGTGATAGGACATGTAAAGTAGGAAGTTTTTCACCTCATGGCAAATAGGAAGCAGAGAGGAAGGGACCAGCAACTAAGCATAACCTTCAAAAGCATGTCCTCAGAGACCTACTTCCTCCAGTTGAGCCCCACCTCTTAATATTTCTACCACCTTTCAAAATAGCACCACCAGCTGGGGACACGTGAGCTTGTGAGGGACATTTTATATTCAATCCATAAAAATAGCAAATTGAATCAAGTAAGAAAGAAGGCCAAAGAAGTCTCAATATAAATTTCCAAGTGTATGCAGAGGAGTAAGAATCAAAAAGAGATAGGAAGTATGTTCAGAAATATAACAGAACCTGGAGAACTCTCAGCAAGTCAAGAGAGTAGAGATACTGATAGAATGTAATAACTAATTGCATGGAGCAGAGAGATGAAGTTCACATTGCACACAGGTCAGTTTCCCTTGGAGAAACCATTTCTGCTTAAAGTAAATAAGACCATTCTTGCAATGATGTTAACTAAAGCAGAATAACTCATTGGAGTACACATTGAGAGTCCAAGAACCAGAGTGGCAGTGTTGGAAAAATGATCATCCAGCCCAATGAGACTACAGTGAAATTTCCACTCCATTACTGTTTCCATTGATGCTCATTATTCCTTAAATAGTCACCAAATTAAAAAATAATTAGGAAACCACAATTTACAATATTGACAAAATAATAAGGAAAACAAATGAGAGTAGTTTGTTATTGCCAATCTGCTACCCAATGAGGTACTACAGTGTACATACTACAGTGCTAAAAGGAGAAGCAGAGAGCTAAGAAGCATTTTTGTGAGTAATTATTTATAAATTCCTGCTTTGTTCTTACAAAGTAAGTTCAATTATGTGCTCTGGGAAGGTATTTCCTAGCTCTCTGAAGCATCCTAGATTATTGCTTGAAGGTTAAAATGTAAGCATCCAGAGCTTTCTGACTTCTTTTAAAACACAAACTTCCATAGCAGAGAGATAGTTACTTGAACACAGAATATTGACATTTTGAGGAATTGGTGTGGCAGATTGTGACTTAGAAAAGAACAAGTAGTGACCAAATACAGACCAGGGAAGGGTCTACCAGAATCTTAAGAGTGCCTAGAAAATCACTAATTGGTCAAAGCACTCTTCAGTTTAGAAAGAAGGTGCCTGAGGTCTTATAAACAAGAGACAGCCACTTGGTGGAAGCTTTTGATGTGATTATCACCCTTGCATTTGCTTCTTACACCTTGGAAAAGGAGATGAAAATATAGACGTGTTTTTCACCTATTCCCAAAACGTGCTGCTTAGAATTTGTCCCTGTGCTGTGGTACCTAGTACAATTGTCTAAATGGTGTTAAAAACCATATGGAGGCCTCAATATAACCGACAACTCTTAGGGGTCCTTTGTTATTGGTGAAAGTTCCAAAGGAAATTTGAGAGAGCAGCACAGGTGTTTCTGCTCTACCTGCTGTCTATACTAGCACCATGTCTCTTCCCAGTCGGATCTATTTAAATTCTCTCTCCACTGCGTTTCTATTGATGCATTATATATGTATTTTCTTAATTATGCATTAAGAACTGGCATTCTTCCAGGTGTGGTGGTTCATGCTTATAATACCAGCTCAGAAGGTGAAGATCTAGAAGATCACAGTTTGAGGCCAGCCTGGGCAAAAATTTAGTGAGACTCCATCTCAATGTACAAGCCAGGCATGGTGCATGAGTGTCTAATCCTAGCTATGTGGAAGACATCTGTAGGAGAAGTAGGATCAGACAGAGGCTGGTCCTAGGCAAAAACACAAGATCTTATCCGAAAAATAGCTAGATCAAAGAAAAGAAAGAGGGTGGCTCAAGTCGAAGGAAGGAAGGAAGGAAGGAAAGGCCTGGCATTGTAATTAATGAAATAGTGAGTCAAAATGTAATTATAGTCAAAATATAATTAGACTATTTTCCTTATAAAATTACCGATTTATTTTCAAAAACCAATTTTACTGAAAGCATATTAACATAAAGCACAGTGAAAATTATTTGTCCTGCTTTAAAGTTTCAAGAGACTTCAGAAACATATATTGGCTCTAGGATAGATTTTATATAAAGAAATGCCAATTTGATGGAAATATGCTGAGGTAAATTTGAACTTTTCAATAAGGGCAATTGTAAAACCCTTTCTCTGAAGCACATAGGTGAATGTATTACTGTCATTAGGACACTGTTCCCTAAATTGCTTTCTATGGAACAGTGAGCTTAGAAATATAATGTTTTGATGAAAAAATAAGGTTATTTGGGAAATGCTTCATGGCCTAGAGAAAATTATCATATGGAATGCTCTAGGGAGTTCTGAATTACAAGAGTCACTTCACTATAATATTTTCCAACCTACTTGAGCATAGAAACAACACCCTTTAAACACATGCATTATCTGTGAGAACCATAGAAAACGATTTATGGAATGTGGTAAGGGAGACTATGTAGGGCCAGCCAATTGTGTCAGCCAATGGGGCTCCCTACCTGCCATGGCTTGGGGCAGTGGTGAAAGTGTCAAAGGGTGAAACATTGAGCTTGATAAACTCTGCATAAAAGCTATCCTATCCATCGAATTTCTGATGGAATTATCCATTATTTATAGATCACAAGGGAAAAGCTTTTTAAAAATCTCTCTGGAAGAAACAATAAATTTATAACATCGTAATCTGTATGTGTGATGCAGACGGGAAGCATTCCAATGATGGATGTGAAGCCACTCAGAGGACAGAAAGGTATAAAGGTAAAGGAAGGGCAGTGCATGCTGCTGTATGTGTATGTGCATGTGCATGTGCATGTGCGTGTGTGTGTGTGTGTGTGTGTGTGTGTGTGTATGCGCGGACTTGTGTGTATGGGATGTGCTATTGTGTCTGTGTGTCTCTGAATGGTGGGTATTGGTTGTGTGCATGCATACTCATGCATTTGGGTGGTGATATGGTTTGTATGTGTATATATATGTATGTGTATTTATAACTCTGAGTGAATGGGGTATATCTATGAGTTTATAAGTGGGTAGGTGCATGTTGAATAGATTGAATGCATACATGGATGGAATAAGTGGAGGGAAAGAGAGAATGCACACACATGCATGTATTTTAAGGGAACTGAGCCAATCTCACATAGGCTTTAGAAAATGAGAAAAGAATAAGAAAAGCCAGAACCAAATGAAGTCAGAGGCTCAGGATCTAGGCAAGAGATCTACCTATATTTCCTAAAAATAGGGGAAAACAAACCCCTGGAGTGAAGCCTGAGTAAGAAAAATGAGAGTCAAGGAGTATGTGCTCCTGCATTATTTGGGAGTGATTTTTTTTTTTAAAAGAAGCACCTAGGCAAGTTCTTTCCTAGCACACTTCAGTGTCCTTTCAACTCAGCAAATTTTCCCTAAGCGTAAGTACACTGCAGTCTGGCCTCATTCTACCACCAGTACATCTTTTCTGTGGGCTGCCCTCTACTGGCAGGAAGGGACTCTGCCTTCTCCCCCTCCCTAGTCCTGTCCTCCTCCTCCTTTCCCTTCCTTCTCCAGAGAAAGCATTTTAAGTGGGCTGAATGTCAGCACCAAACAGAGAAATGGCAAGTCTAGCGCTTCCTGTCTCTCTTTTAAAGGGAAGCTGTGTTCCTGTGAGAGGATTTTATGGTGTTTCTAAATCTACTCACTTTAGCAGCCCTCATATTTTACTTTGAAAATATCAATATTGTGCCTTTTTTTTTTAACGGTATTGGGGCTTGAACTCAGGGCCACTCCATTAGCCCATTTTTGTGAGGGGTTTTTTGAGATAGGGTCTCACAAACTATTTGCCCAGGCTGACTTCGAACTATGATCCTTCTGATCTCTGCCTCCTAAGTAGCTAGGATTATAGGCACGAACCACTGGCACCCAGCTTGTTTGCCTTCTTAAAACTCATTTAGTCATTTTTATCCTTCTGATCTTTTAGTTCCATTTTACATTGCCATTTTCATTTTATCTTAAAATTGTTTGCCTTCATCTCTTATATTATCTTTTAAAAACTTTTTAGCTACGTTTAATTTCTTCTTATCATCTCTACTTTTTTAATGTTGTGCTTGGTAGGGGTA